GGAATCGTTGGCTAAAAGACTTCGAGGATATTATTACAAGAATATTGACGCCAATCCATATCATAATCAAAATGTTTTTAATAATAATAATAATGTACAACAAAATGAATATATTGTGGACACGGATGCCACTAATGACATGTCAGCCCCTGTCAGTCAAAACCAACCTACCGTTCAGACACAAACACAGCCCGAAACTATCGCTAATTCATATGATGCCAGCGGTAAAGACATGCAAAACATGGATCAGGTATTGAATGTTAACTTCGGTGCAAAAATAGAGAAACCCAGCAAAGAGTCCATAAGTGTTGAGAACAGTAATCCTAATCCCAATCAACAGGAGTTGAAGGAGTATTTGAATTATTTGAAGAGTAAGGATAAGAGACATACCGATCAACCCCACAGACACACCGATGCCAATAGTCTATCTCAGAAGCCTAAATCAAATGTGCCTGATATTATCCGTGGGTTTATGCCATCGGCACCATTAATCGCACAATTAGTACCCGGAGAGACACAGTATGCCGGCGCCGATGAGCCAACAACCAGTCAATCGCAAGTGAACTATCAGTGGACTCTATACCACAATCCCGGCAATCGGTACTACAATAAGAAATCATTAAACTATTGGAAATTTCCCTACGATTTGGATGACGAGAGCAAAAATCTACGGCTAGTGAGCAGTGAATTGAGTTTCGGTCAGAGGATTATACCTAAAGAGCAGTCGTTTAACAAAGACCTGGATTACTCGTATCAGTTGCATAAGGATTACAAAAGTCACGCACAGTATGACAGCGCCGGCAATCATATCGACAAACCTGTGGCCGATTATGAGGAGGACGTAGTCTTAGTGACAGCCGATCCCCACCAGCGACAACTCATTGAGAAACTGGAGGCTCAGGAACATTCATCGCCTGTGAAAAACTACGGCCAACAGACTAGTGGCGATCTACTTGACAGTCAGCCATCGGTGGTAAACAACGATTATCTCAAAGTGTTTAATAGTATTCATGAAATTAATGATAACTTCCGTTTGGATGAGAAGCGCATTGAATACAGCGGATGGACACCGATTAAGACGAAGGAGCAGATACTTATGGATCAGATGAAAGCGGAACGGGAGGAAAGGGAGGAGAAGGATGAAATCATGAGGACAGCCGCCTCCACGTTAGCCAATACGGTGCAGACAAAGAGGTCGCTGGATATCAACGATACCACAAGTTTTACGCCAATTAGAGGCAGAGTTAGCAATCAGTGGATAAGTATCAACGATAGGAGCAGTTAATTGATTACATTTTTGATTGATACAGGTATATTTTTCACGTCAGTTTAAATAGGTATATATTTTTGCAAAATGCATGTTATTTAATTTGAGAAAAAATTTATACTATTTTTTCTATTGTTTTCTGTTGTCTGTGTTAAAACTATTTATGTATATTTTTCCTATATTTTTTATGAGCTTTTATGATAATTATTATTTTTATCAATCTTATTATTATGTTTGTTTTGACGTAAATGTAATTATAAGAGAAAATATTTGTTTTGTTAAGAAAATATTGCTTTTTATATATAAATACAATCTCATTGATTATCACAACAAACAAAATGTTATTTAAATAAAGATATCAAATAAAACCATTTAATAATTAATTTTCTTATCAAAACATTTAATTATCTGCTAATAGATTATAAAATCTAGTTTTTTAATAATTTGCGAAAATAATAAGACTTTTGGGGGTTTTCTCATAAACCGAAAGTAACTCATAATAAGTATTTATATAACAAATTTCGATTTAAATGGCTTTTTATTTAATGTATTTTTTCATACCTTGAAATCTGGAGCTTGACAAATGTTATCCAAATACCTGATTAGCAATCGATAAAAACACATATAATTAATAAAAATGTACTCAATATTTAAGTAAGTTTTATGTAGTTTTATGGACGGCTTTGTAACAAATTAATTTTATTAATGACCGAAATAATGCAAAAAACAAACAAAACTTTTTAATAATTAATCTATTAATCGACTGCGAGATTAATCTCTTATCGAGAGGTTAATGAAAACAATAAAAATAATACAAAATATGGTGCTCCCACTGTGGGACCGAGATTTTTGTTGATTATCATTAGAAACCTTATTTGAATTTAGGTTTTTGTTTTATTTGACTATAATTTTTCATTTCATTTGTTATCATTTTCGTTTAAATTATTATTTGAAGCAATAAGTAATTTTTGGATTAGGTTTTAGTTGTTTTGTTAACTTTGTCAAGAAGTTTATATTGCTTAACTAAAATTATATTTTATTTTAGTTTTATTTATTTCAAATATAATACTCTGATTTTGATCAGTGAAACCAATGAACTCTTATAATAAAATATGGGATTTGTTTTCGTAAAAATATAAATTACTCTTATTTTTATCAAATGAAAAGTTTGTAATTTATTAATAACTTGGTAATTAATAAACTTCATTTACTAATTAATTAACTACGAAATAATACATAATATATTTGTTATACTGGTAAATTTATTTATAAACCTAGTTTTAAAATAAATTATCTCACTGTTAAATTCAAAAATATATTTAACTTTTAGTATAAATTAAACTCAATTAAACTTATTAAAATTGAGTGTTTCTTAATTTTTATATATAATCTAAAAACCAAATTTGGAAAAAGTTGTTAAAACTGTTGAATTGGATCAAAATCTCAGGTGTTTTGAATCAGGGACTTATTTTCAGACTAATTATTATTATTATACTCTCATTTCGTAAACAGTGTTTTGAGTTTTTAAATTGTATAAAGTGTTTGTCAGTAAAATAAATTGAGTGTTATTTTCATTAAAGTCGTAATCATGATTAAATTAAGCCTAATCATTTTGGTAGTTATAATTCACAATTGCCAGTCTGTCACAGACCTACTGGGGCCAAACACTGAGCCATTTTCCATAGGTATTCATAAATTATAAACATTTGCAAGAATTTACTTGTAATTAGGAATTAACGGTTTATTATCTTATATTTTTCATAGACATCACACCTCCCAACCCCATCAAAGAGACTCTGTTACAGTGTTTCAAATGCAAACCGGGCTCACAGTTACGAAAACTACTGCACTATTCCTCTTACGATGACACGACCTCTTGTAACGACTGGAAAGTGTCCAAAAGTAATGCCGTTTTCAACATGACTTTGGGCTCCGAAGTGAGTCTCCTGAAGATGAAGGGTTTGACCACTTATACCGTACATCTCAATGGTTAGTGGCACCGGTGCTCACGTGTATTATATTCATTAACAATGATTTGTATGTCTGTACAGGAAATCTGGTGCTAATCCAAAGGGGATACATAACAGAGGGTGAGTGCGCCGGCGGTTTCTGGGAGAAGTTTGTCATCAACGCCGTCGACCAGTCGGGCTGTTCGAGCACTGGTATTACCAAACAGATCCCCATCTATGCGTTGGCACAGATCACGAACGGCACCTGTGCTGCTGTCTGTCCCGGAAAGGTATCCGTTTGGTTTGACCCACCCGTCAAAAATACTTTGGATTAGATCTGCGCCGAATGTGTGGTCTATTTTCAGTTATCACTAGTAATTTTGATATTAAAATTTAATTTAAAATCTTATTTAAACTAGGACACTTTCTAAATTGAGTCTAGAGTATAGTAGTTTTCCAAAGTACTATATTAACGATTAGCTAAAATAATTAATTATTCATTCAAATTTAATTAATTTCTATTAATTTATAAAGTATTTGTAAATTAAATATAGTCTCAAACCACAATTGTTTTTAAAAATAAAATTTTATTTCAAATGTTTATATTTCATAAAAAGGGCAACAACTAATAAAAATATTAGGATAGGAATACAGAACATAAGATAATTAAGTAGCTAATATTTATTATAATTTTAATTAGAAATAAAGAGTCAAGCACAAATAAAATGAATCATTTGAAAATCTTCTCGAAATAATTGCCCTCAAAGTTGTAATGATATCCGCCGTCAAGTAGTAGATTAGCGCCGGTAATGAATTCGGCATCACTTGAGGCCAAGAATACCACACTTTTGGCCACATCTATGGGAACACCCATTCGTCCCAACGGTGTTTTGGCGGACACCTCCGCACGCAGTCTATTGGGATCCATATTGTCTTTAGTGCCGTCCACTGCAGGCGTCTCACAAACACCGACACTAATCCAGATTAATATCAAAGTATTTTTAATTTAATTTAATATTTTATAAGTTCAAATAATTGTATGTTTTATACTTAATGCCGTTCACCCGTATGCCTGAGGCCCCCAATTCTAGGGCCAGTATTTTGGTGGTCATGTCGACAGCCACTCGGGAGGCACTGTAGCCAAGCATTCGGGTGTGCTTTCAATGAAAACAAGTTATTATAGCAAATATTTATTACACTTTTTACTATTAATCATAAATACCGGCGATAGGGCTCCGATTCCCGATATATTGATGATAACGCCTTTAGTTTTCTCCAAATAGGGGACAGTCAGGTGTGTCATCTCAACCAATGCTCTCAAATTGAGTTGAATTATGAAATCAAAAGTCTGCATAAAATCCTTATCTTTGATGGTATGGAAGACATTTCCGCCCGAGTTGTTCACCAGGATATCAATCTTCTTAAATGCGGCGATCGATTCATTCACTAATCTCTTGAGATCATCGCTTTTGGTCACATCCGCCACCACTTGCAAAGGCTGTCAAAAATGGTGTAAAAGTTTATAAATAGGCATAAAATTAAAGTTATGACAACTACTAAACCTTTAATCCTTTTGGTGATAATTTATACACTTCTTGCGCCACAATATTCACTCGGTTGACATCCCGGCCGGTGATAACTACCTGTGCGCCTAAGTATGCAAATAGACGAGCGATCTCGGCTCCGAGGCCTGAGTTAGAGCCCGTAATCAACACTACTTTTCCGCTGAAATCCTTA